GCAAGATTTGTTCTACAAGTATATGGAGCATGCAAAGGATGACCAAACCAGCTATGGACAGAGTCATGACATGGAAAAACATCACCAAAAATATGCTGAAATGGACTCAACATAAGCTAGGATAACATGCTAAAGCAAGAAGCGTATAAAGCTAGTTTATGAGATTTGCACTACAAGTGTATTATACATGCATGGAGTGACAAAACCAACCCAAAATAGATCTAAGGCATGGTAAAACATCACCAAAAACCTACTGAAATGGACTCAACACAAGCTAGGCAAACATGCTACTTTGATGAGCTACAAATGGGATTACACTACACATACAGGATGCATGCAAAAAGTGACCAAACCAGCCATAGATAGAGCCAAGTAAGGTCCTAAAGTCAGAAAAAAAGGCCTGAACCATGCCTCAAAAATACAGAGAGGCATGCTCCTTTGGAAGGCCAAAAACTCAAGCAAACAAGAATCAAAAGAGAGGGGGCCACCCCCTCTGATTTGATGCCTCAAAATCATATGCCTACCACTGAAAATCCACTAGATTTCAGTGGTTAAACGGCCAAACCAAGGCTAGCTCGAAGGCCTTAAGGCATGGCTTAAAACAAGGCCAAACAAGGCCAACAAGAGGGTTGGAGACCCTCAACAGCCAAAAGACCTTAAACAACCACCAAAAGCACTTAAATACAAGACTTTTTTTCAGTTGAAAGAAAGGCCTAAAAAAATATGCAAGAATGGCCAAAATGAGATACAAAAAAGTGCTAAAAAAGGGAAAATACTCACCCTTGAAGTCCAACTTCGAAACCAGCAACTTCAGGGGCCAAAAACTCACTTTTAGAGCTCAAGTAACCTTCCCAAGAACCTCAGTCCAATGGTGGTGGTGTATCTCTATGTGTTGTAGTGTAAAAGTGCAAGAAAAATGGACTAAACCACAATAATATAGACAGAGAGTAAGAAATATAGAAAGAGAGAGCTATATCTCTTCTAAAATGGCTGAACCTCTGCTAAGGAGAGAGGCTCTCTCCTTATATAGAGGGAAAACAATGCAAAGCTTCTTCAAGAAGCTTGGCAAGAACTTCATCCCTTCATACACGTGTATGGAGGGGAGATGAAAGGATTCTAGCTGGCTCAAAAGATCTGGAGTAAAACCAGCTGAGACAGGGGTGCTGCCGGCCATCAGTGGTGGCCGGTAGTGGCTCATTGATGGCCGGCAGGCTCAATCAATGGCCGACAGCAACAAGGTGAAGGCTGACAGGCCCAAAAAGGGGCCGACAATGCACCAAAAAACACATTCTGAAAGGACCGAGTCATAGTCCAAGAATGGGGCAGAAAGGATATGGGGTTTGAAAAGCTCAAAACTGTGACGTTCCGCCGTGAAAGTCGAATACCCGATGAGCAATCAAACTTGTTGTTGGGTGTACCTGCAAGCACAACCAAGTCTTGAGGACGGTAAAAAATGGGGTGTCTACAATCAGTAAACAAGCTTTCCAGCTCCGTTACCCTAAACGCCTATTCTGCCCGAATACAAGCGTAATAATCCTTCAGGCTAGAGTATTTTTCGCTCATGTATTTATAACTAAATGGAGGTAGTAGCCACACTTTTGATTTGTTTCGACGCCATGAACTGCCTGCACCCCCTTGAAGACATTTTTTTAACACAACAAATAAAAATATATAACTGGGTTGTAAATAACTATTGACATGGGTACTGCTATTTATAGATAGGTAGAGGATATGACATGGTTGCGATAATTCATATCAGAGGTTAATGTGGAGAACACACACCCGTGATATTCTTTTAACTTATTCATTTTATGCAACCCATCGAAATTGTTGTTGCTCACTTTTTGCATTTTGTATGCCCGTGATATACTGTCAAGTCGTACTAAAATTTTGCCAGCATATGTATGTAATATTTTCAAACTTCTTGTTATTGGATATTGATTTTCATATATGAAAACTTGTGCAGGTCTATGACTCATTTACTAGAGGAGATCCCATTATTGATTCACGCCCATCAAGTCGATACGATATGGCATCAGTCGGTATGAATTATTTATTTATTTATAAACGATATTTCAATACTACACAAACACTCCAGTTGTTACATAGTATAATGTGAAACTGTGTTCCCTTCGAAAATTTAATTGTTTAAATTGAAAGTGTAACGTAAATTGTTTTTATATGACTGCATCCGTTACATGTCGTTACTTTCATCATCTTCAAATAGATACTTGAAGTAGTACATTTGTTGTTGTGAATCTATATAATAAACAAAAATGTGTTTTCCAATTGGGGATGGGACATTTGTCTATGTGTGAAAATATGGATCATAAGATTGATTCACTGTAAGGGCTGAAAAATGTGATTTGTTTTAAATTTAGGTTTCATACTCACAATGTTGTCTTGTGCAGGCAAAAGATCAGCTGAAATTGAAATGCCGACGATTTGATTCGGGCTTATGGGACACTGCCTTGGACCATAGAGTCCTACGTTGCCTACTGCGTGCGGGGTTCTATGGGGTCTACCGGATCGGTCATATTCGATTAGACCACCATCTCATTGTAACTCTCGTAGAGACGTGGCGCATAGAGACACGCACATTTCATTTCCCTATCAGAGAGGCCACAGTTACATTACAGGATATGGCTTTTCTATTTGGCCTACCCGTTGACGGAGACACGGTCAGTGGCATGGACCCAGGAAACAAGTTGGATGACTTGATAGCTTTATGTGTGGAGTTGTTAGGAGCAGCACCTACACAAGAAGACTTCATAGGCTCCTCGCTTAAATTGAAATGGTTATCAGATCATTTCTATGAACTTCCACATAATGCGACGGATGAGACGATTTATCATTACGCTCGAGCGTACATTATGTGGCTTATTAGGGGGGGTGCTAGTCCCCAATAAGTCACAAAATATAGTAAAGATGATGTTTTTGCCACTACTTAGAGACTTTGACCATATACATGAGTTCATTTGGGGTGGTGCCACATTGGCATGTTTGTATAGGATGTTGTGTTGGACGACTAAGCCTGACACAAAGGAAATGGCTGGGCCACTTGTGCTATTACAAGTGAGTTGGAATGACTTGTACTTTTATCTAATATTTTGAATTGTCGTGTTTTGTAAAATACCTAGTGTAATAAATTAATAATGTCATCATTCATTGTAGGTTTGGGCATGGGAGAGATTGAGCAGGATCACCCCCAGTAGAAAGTCCAACATTGCTGATGGCGAGCGGGCCATAGGGAAGGCAGACCACCAATTACCACCTGGCCCGAGAGCTTGCAGGCGGAGGGTTCCCTTTAGCCACGAAGTCATATCGACTAGTGTTAGTGTCATATTTAGGGACCAGTTCGACCGAATGTTAGAGGGGGAGGTTTGTAATTATTTTATGTCAATTCACCCAAGTTAATGTTTGTCAACCTCCACCGTACGGATTGGTCTCTAAATTATTGCTTTGTTATTGCAGTTCATATGAGAGCCTTACGAGACAGAGAATGAGTGCCACTGATATGCTTCGATATCATTGAGTTGCATCTCCTCGATCGGGTCCTTAGACAATTTGGACGGGTTCAGGGTGTGCTTGATCGATTTGACGTGTATTTGGCGATGGTTTTTAGAGACAGATGTGACAAAATGGCCATTGATTGGGCAAAAGAATACCAACCATTTACAGATGATTGGAACAACCAACGTAACAACATTGTCCATGCTGAGAGGAGCAATGAAGTCCTTACATCCTCTGACCCATACATCTTATGGTTTCGCCGCCATACATGTTTAGTTTTGAGTAATCCGAGCGACATTGCTTCGTTCAGATACCAAGGCATCGGGGGTAGTTTAAAGGGCTTGGTAAGTTGTTTATATTTTGTAATACTACATTACCTTAAGTTTGTGTATCTTTAAGTTGCCATCGATGGTTACATAACACATCTACCATTACCATACAGGTTCGTAGAGTTGCAAGGGCTTACCACTTGGCAGACTTAGTCCATATTACACGTGATGGTGCAGATGCTTTGGATGCCATTGCTGAGATCCGATAGTTATTGTACGATGGTTTGCAACAGGCACACTGACGTGACCGACTAGATTTCAGACACTTTGGCGAGGATCCTTCCATGGCAGTTGATATTACAGCCACTTCAGTGCCGCACATGAATATGCCATCCTCTAAGCCTTCAGTGCCTCCACTGCATCCTACCCCATGTCATGCACATCAATCTGACCCTTTCGATGTAGAACACTTTGGTGATGGGCCTTCCATGGGTCTGCCACGTCATGGTCCATCTACAGCAATGCCTACACCGCATTTTGACCTAATTGAATGTACACAATACATATCCCAATCTTCCCCTGACCGAGATCCTCTCATGTTCGAACATACATCCGCATACCATGGCCATATATTGGAACCCTCCTGGTCACCACCTCCATACAGGACAGAGGTTGGTAGCCTGGTGACTTCCTTAGCACCACTGTCCACTGCATGTTTGTCTAATATGATGCCCTCTAGTTCGACATTGACCACACGAGACCATTTGACAGTACATTCATCTTTAACATCACCGCAGACCAATGTGGACGAGAAAATGTCTCCATCATCTCCTATGCTACATTTAACCTTGAGCGAACTTCATGATCCACTCATTACCCATGACTTCCACATTGAAGGGGACAGGGAGGGCCAAGTCCATGCACCTACTAGAGGGACAGGTAGAGGTAGTGGTAGAGGTCGTGGCGGCCATCGAGGCTGAGGTCATGGTGTGAGTCGAGGATGAGGCCGAGCTATAGACCATGACAGTAGTGCAGTGGATGCGGGGGTTTCACAGATCAAAGCCGTATGTGAAGGATTGCTGGCGGTGGTATCAAATATTTGCACGGAAACCATTGGTGATAGGCAGCCAACTTCTGAAGAAGCCAGCGAGGGCGTCGTACGTGCAACACCACTAGATATACAAAGAGTATATAATAAGAGACCTAGGAGACAGACCCATGGAAGAGGTTGTGGAACAGGGGGAAAATTGGCACATTAGGGAAAACCGACACTGGTAAGTAGCTTCAGACATTAATGCCATGTGGTGTTTTACAGATAGATTAGTGTACAATGTTTGTGATTTGTCCTTTACTTTTTTGTTTACTATATATGTTCCACATATAATTTGTTGATGGAAATTATAATTGATTATGTTTTCGCACAACTCAAACTTAATACTGTATTTATTAGATTGGTCAAACAAAGAAAATATGTGGATTGTGTAAAAGTTACTTTCAGATTTCAATTTATTGTTATTGTGTAGATTTGATAGGTTAATCATGTAAGTGTTGCGGTCAAACATTGAGTGGGACATCCGTTTTAGTTAATGGCTTCAGTGGGTGTAGCACTGATTTTTAACCAATCTGGTTTTACATTATAGAATATTGTTCTTAAACTTTGTAGGATATATAAGGCGTTCTTGTTGTTAACATTGGAAGCTCTATGGGTGGTGTAGAGTTATGGCAGAATGAGGATGGAACTTATGATAATTTTGATCCTCAGTCCATGCATGATAAGGGGGTGTTTGGTGGAGCTTTTTTAAGCCAACTTATGGCTTCTAGCTTTTAAAAAGTTATTTTGGACTGTTTGATTAAACTTATTTCAAACAACTTTTGATTCTAACAACTTATTTTAAGTCAAAAAAGCTGATTCTGAGAAGCTGCTCACTCCTTACTTCTGATTATCAGCTTCTGCTGTGGACATGTTAATTCACGGTTATACTCTTAGATTTTTTTATTTTTTATTTTTTTAAAAATAGAAAAAGACCCAAATGGACTATTAAATATTATTATTAGTTTTTATGAAAAATGTAGACAAATGGTGAATAATAAAAAATAAAAATTAATTGAAAAAGCTACTTCACAGCTTATTTAGCAAACACTACTCAGCAACTTAAATCTATAGTCCAACAGCTATACCAAACAGATTAACAGCTTCTGATTAAAGTCATAATCTATAATCTGTTAAGCTATAATCTATAATCTGTTTTAACAGCTACACCAAACAGCACCAAGATACTGGAGGTTGTGAGCATATCAGGGACTTGGCATCTTGGAAAGCTTTAGGTAAGTCGTATCTCCAGTTAAGTTTTTAATTTTTTTTATTTATTTTGGTAAATAGTTACATCTCCACCTACTGTTTTTTTTGTTTGTATCCTTAATGTGTTTCCTCCTTAAATCTTTGTTGTTAAAGTGAAACATGCATCTTTCCCATAGTGCTCCAATAGTAAGTGTTACTTCTTATTTAGCTCACACTTCTGCGAATCAGCCCATCTACAAACTTTGAGAAAAGGTTCAAAAGCGTACAAGGCATATAATCAAACCTTGGTACATTTTTGTTTGGCTTATTACAAAACTTGTGATTGGATGTGTGGTGCATAGAGGAGAAATAATGTTTTAGTTTATCCTTGTTTCAAACAACCTACCTACCTTCAAGATATCTTTATTCGATAGAACTTTGATGTTAGTAGAGATAATAGTTACTTGTCTCAACTCAGACTTGGCACCATATGATAATATGAGTTTGTAGGGTACATTTCAACTAAAGCTTCTTTGCACTTCTCTGAACTGTTGTTTTGTGTGTAACAGGTAGGGCTTTCTCGTGCTCGAAGGCTTGCCTATGGGCAATCAATTAAGATTCAGCTTTTTGCTGCATTGCCTGTTCAAATAGACGGAGAACCTTGGCTTTAGCAACCATGTACATTGGCCATCTCTCATCATGGCCAGGTTCTCTCTCTCTCTCTCTCTCTCTCTCTCTCTCAAATACAAAATGCAAGCCAGTAAGGCACTATTTATCAAATGTTCGTCAAAACCCTCTTCCTATGGTAGGTGTCATGAAATTCACCAAGTATTATTAAAATTAATAACATGCCACAATGTGTGGTTGAAAGCATTCATACCAGTGAGTTTCTAGTATCTTGTGGGTCTGAGAAACCAATTTACTATTGTGCTTCATTTTTTGGTTTCATGTTGACCAATGATTCTGGTACTGGTAAAAAGAAATAGTGAGAAAGGAATTAAATACCTTCCACACCCTCTCTTTTTCTATAGTATACTATTGGGCCCTCAAAGGACTTATGATGTCGTTAACAGTAGGTGGATATTTATTTATTTTTGATATTGTGTTGATTTGATAGGTTAATCATGTAAGTGTTGCGGTCAAACATTGCGTGGGACATCCGTTTTAGTTTATGGCTTCAGTGGGTGTAGCACTGATTTGTGGTTTGAGATAATCCAGTGGCCATACTGTTGGAGTTGATACAGATGAATGCCATGAAAATTAGGGATGATAACGTACAACTGCTGATTTAATATATATATTTGTTTTACTTTTTTAATTTTCATGTTTCATTATTTGGCACCATTTAACTTGGGCTGCTTTGTTTTTGTAGGAATTGGAGGCCACATTTCTTGATGGAAATGGGAGAGAGACGGTATATTTATTTATTGATGGAGGGCATACTTGTTGGTGGTTGAAAATGGACAACCAAAGCACGTACTCTACAGTAAGTGGATATTTATTTATTTTGTCATTACTATGATGAAGATCTGATAACAATTGCACGAGGTTAGTTTTGGTGCAAAGTTTATCCCTTATTTCATTCACTTTAATAACCAGTAGTGCATGAACTGGGTGGAGGAATTTATAAACAAATGCCATGGTACAGGAATGCAGTACAACATGGGATATCAAAGCAACTCCAGCGTTCTTTTTCTTCCGAGATGGGCAGCAAGTTCAGAAACTAGTACGAGCCAACAAACCGGACCTACAGGCTTGTGGAACTGTGATTATGAATTCAATGGCGACATCTAATAAATAATTGTTTCGTGGTTATGGTTATCGTCTTGACAAGTGCCCGGGGAATAGTCTCATTCTTCTTGTTATCATTCATGTGGGATGAGTCTGTATTCTTTGCCTTCATATTGTAAATTAGTACAAAAGTGTCTTATGTTTTTGAGGATTGTACGAGGTAAAACCAGGGTGTTGTTGGGAATCAATTGTGAATTTGAAATTGTGATTATGTATTTGTTGAGATTCTTAGTTAATTCAGTACCTTCTTTTTTCTATTTTTGGTTTATTCGTCTTTTTTCATCGCTTTATTTTGTTTATTTATATAATTTCAAATGTAAATAAATTTGGAACTTCATTTCTCTTTGAGTTGGGTTGTTTATTTATATAATTTCAAATGTGTTGTGTTGCAAATACATGTTCAGGAGTACAAGAAAAATACAAAAACAAGCAACCATTTTTTTACAAATCGGTGATTTGTTTTGACATTCCTAGTTAATTCAGTAGGTTATATTTCTTTGTTTTGTTTTGTTTTTTGTAATATTGAAATGAAAGAAGGGTCTTTGGAGATAAAATTTTGAACGTAGCGCTGATAATTTCACATTTTTGGAAGAAATTACTTGATTCGAACCAGGTTTTTTTTCTTACTTAACTGTTTTGATCAGTAATGACTTGTCCTGAAGTACATGTCCAATTTTGTGACGTAAAATTTTTTTTTATTACAAACAAGGCATGTTGCAACAAAACATACACAACTTACAAAACATTCCAGCCAACATTGCAATAGGACTGCTCGAGCCAAGGAATGTTGGCTCGAGCCAACATTCCATGCTCCTAGAAGTTATATGCAGCCTGCAAAATTGCTGGGGGTCCTCAATTTACGCTCGAGCGAACTTGACAATGGCTCGAGCGAAAAAAACATGAATTCAGTATATTTGTAGGTTTCTGAACTACTACGAACTCCAGAAGTGGGTTGGAGCGACAATTTTTTTGCTGAAGTGGGATTTGTATTCATCTATCTCAAACCCTAAGTTCTACTTCCATCGACATTCCAAATTGTATCGATTTGTTCCCTAATCTGCTAGGGCAAATCTTTTCCGCTGTTGTGCGTCACCGATTATGTGAAAACCTGCATTTAATTATTCAAAATAATAATAATAAAAATAAAATAAAATAAAATAATAAATAAATAAATTAGTTAATTAACATTATCTGGAGTTTGTCTGAAATATATTAGTGTATAAGTTAGTTTTAAATTAATCTAATTAAATCACTAAGAAAGACATTATTAAAAATAATAATTCTGTGGGTGTTCAATATTTATTGTTTATAAATTATTTTAATTAGGATTTAACATCATACTAAATATCTTAGTTTTAAAAAAAAAAAAAAAATCTTTGAATCAGATTCTCGGTGGCAGAGTAATGCCACCTACTTGCTTGCATGTAACTATAGAAACTTTCACCTCATCATAATTCTTGGGTTGAGGAGATACGAAGTGGCAGAGAATAATGAAAACAAAGAGAGAGAGAGAGAGAGAGAGAGAGAGAGAGAGTGGGGGAAGCTCAGCATAATCCTTTTTATACAAAGAGAAGGCTTAGCTTATTATACATATGCTTGTCTGCTCCTTCGAATGAGTGAGGGAAAATAAGGAAAAAAAAAAGAAAAAGAATTCAGCTAAACAGTAGAAAGAGAAGAAGGGAGGAAGGTTAAGGAAGCCAAATTTTTCTACCATTTCATCACCCATTTCAATCCTACTATTAAGTAAGAAAACCTTCTCAACCCTCTCATTTCTTTTTATTAATGAAGTTTTCAGATTATATTCATGTGATAAATGACTAACTTATAGATAGAAATTTTATATATATGTGTAAGAATTTTGTGATGTGTATATCAAATGTTTGAAGATATTGATAGTCATAAAATCATGGTATTATTGTGAAAATAGGCTTGCATGTGTAGTTTATACAATTAAAGAAAAGATTGAAAATAATCTTTTTGTCCTTAAATCTGCCAGAATGTTTGCACGAATTTTTAGACAATTTTGTACTCAAAATTTTGAGGTGATTTCTTCTACAAAGTTGTTGAGAAGATGTCTAGTTTATCCAGGAATTTTGGCAACAATATTTGAGCTTTTTACGAATTTATACAGATTTGTAATTAAATCTGAAACTGTGAGACAGATTTTACTATATATTTGAAAATTTATTAAAAATTCTATACTAAGCCAAATCTGGTAATTTCTAACTAAAATATGAAATTTGAGAAGTCTAGTTTCATAATAAATTTTTAGATTATGGATTTGATCTATAAATTTAAGCATGGAATTAAATTAAGGAAATGTGACAAATCTATGTCATAAAAATTGCTGGAAATTTTACAGGATTATTTACAACTAAATTTTTTGAAATTCTTTCTGAAAAATGACCTAAACATCCTTATTGAGTATTCTGTTCAATTGCACGAATTTTAAGATTGTGTAAATAATTTAGTTATAATTTTTATTACCTAAGTTACAATCTGGAATTTTCTGGACAGGATAAAATCATCACTTCAATCATTTACTTGCATAAAAAAAATCAATTATTGTGTTGGTCTAATTCATCAAATATTATAAATTAGTAATCCATGTATGGGTGTGTTCTGATTTATTTAATATTGTGCTAGTCTAATTTTGTAAATTAAAAAATTGTGCATGTGTGTGATTATGGTTTATTTCTTGTATCTAAGTTATTATATTCATACCATGGTTTAAATTAATTGTTTATTAAATTTTGTGCATTGAATTATTATTGTGTGACATGTGTAATATTTTATGTTGCGAGTTTTTATGAGTTGGTATACCATTATTGGTGATTGAGATTTGAATAATTTGTGTTTAATATAAAAATTAACCGAAATGATTAATGGTATATATATAAAGTTAATGATGGAGGGTTAATACGTGTTGTTCAGGGTGAGCCCTGGTTTTTTAATAATTTTTATGTAAATTGTGTCGCGAAACCCTAAGATGGCACGTGGCTTATTTGAACCCTTATCGGTATTTGGTTTTGGAATAAGGGTGGATGTGCGGGTGGCACACAGGGAAGTTACGTACCCCTGGCAGACCGTTCCCTTGGGGTAGACCACGAATGCCACAGCTTGGGTATATAACTCCAGGCGTGGGCATCTTTGGTAGTTCTTGAATATTTGACCAAGGGGGGTTTCCAAATTAACCGTGGCCATGCTTAGTGGTTGGTAAGTTAAATCTCTTTGGTGAGATTTCGAGTGTCGCCTAATTTATTAAAATTGTTTGAATTATTTTAATGGTTGTAATTTATGTTTACAATTATATTGTTATCTCATGTTTATAATCTCATTATTTTTCTCTTAAAAAGAATGGTAGGTTGGTTATGTTTTCTTACTGTGTTGCAAAAGTCATGGCATATATTTTGTTGCCCTGGCGTTTCATGCCAGATTATGTCGAAGAAGGGACTGAGGTTGAATTTGGAGCTGCTGCTAATATCAAACCTTGGCTAACTTAAAGTCAAGGTTTTATTTTATCAAAATAAAATTTTATTATCTCTTGTATTAGTATTTAACAATGTTGTGACGTTGAATGTGAACTTGTAATTTTATTTTGTTGTTGGACTTTGACTATGTAAGAATTTAAAATTTCCTAATTAATAGTTAAAATTTTATCTAGCAAGTTATTTAAATTCTATGATGTTCCAAAAAAAATTTGGGGGCGTCACAGATTATCCAACCTTCTCTCTTGGATTACCCCCCGCTATTGTAAGTGTTTTTATATCTATATGTGCTTAATTTGTTTGGTTTTTTTTCTATCCTCTGTGGTTTGTTTCCTACATTTCATGAAGGCGTATAATTTCAACAATTTGTGGTTTGTTTCATATATTTATCTTCTTTGTGGTTTGTATCTATACGTATAGGTACGTGTTTAATTTGAAAATTTAGGGTTTGTTTCATACATTTTATGAACACCAATGTTCCTATGACATTATGTTTGGTATAATGTTCCTATGCATTTCATACAAGCCATGTATAGAGTTTGGAAAAATTTCATCTACCAGTAACCCCAAAACTTGACTATAAAACTAACTTTTATAAATTGGTTCACAACAGTTTACAATGTTGTATAATTAAAGAATACTAGGTTTCACCGAGTTAGAGTCATCCCCATAATGAAGTTTCATTAAAGTAGGAAAAAAAACTATAGTATTAGATTCAAAAGTTGCAATGTATACTTTGTGTGATCTACTACTCTGGTTTATAAGTAACATATGGCATGCTTGCACAATTCCATGCATGATTAGCTCCAAGTTTATATATAGTACTACAAAAACCTTCCATTACGTTCCCTTTTTTAATTTTGTAATAGTTTGTAGCAGCCTTGAAAAAGCACAAGTGTGCTGTGAGTACTTGCCCAAAACAAAAACAAACTTTATTCTTTAATTACATCACCTCTGTTTCTCATTATGAACCAAGTGTAATTGCAGATAACTTGATTTGATTTGATGCAGTTTAGTATTTGTGTTTTTAATGGTTTGTAATGATGCTCATGGTTTGTGGTTGTTGTTGGGGATTTGGGTTTGTGATGAATGTTCGTGGGTTCTCATTTGGGAGGGGGGGGGTTCTTTGTGGTTTTCTTGCTTGGTGGATATATGTGTGTTGTTGGGGTTTTAGTCATGGCTGAATCTTCTTAATGCCGAAAGGCCACTGTGTCCCGTACCTCTTATAACAAAAAGAAATTCCAGTCTAAGGCAAAATCCAATTTGTTTTGGGATTTGTACGAGTCTAGGATTGTCCATCTTGAGCGTAATGTCGAACCCAATACGTTTGACTCAATCCTCATTCGTTCTGTTTTCTATGCCTTGGGTGGTGACCGTGTCTTACTGTTCTCAGGCCCTCAAAATCTTAGTTGGGTGCGGGAATTCTATTGTAACATGCACTCAATTAACATAGATATCTCTCCTGATTTCAAGAGATGGGTTCGTTCGAAGCCAATTTTTGTAAATGAAGAATATATTCGGT